TGGGTGCTACTCAAGGCTAGAGAGATTAGTGTTCCTTCTTATTTAACTCATAGCTGAGGGTTGGGGAGAAGAAACAGATTCATGCTTTTCCCTAAGGTATTTGTATAAAAGTGAATGCAACAGACTAGTCCAGAATTTGAACTTATGTTAATTCTATTTTCTGTGTTGATATCCATTAGTCTACAGACACATACTTTAATAGCATCTGCACAAATATTTTTACTTTTGGGCTACACTTACTTTTTTTTTAAATAAAACATAATATGACCAAAATGTTTATTTTCTTCCACCTTGAATATCAGAATCAATTAACAAAAATATGACAATTTTTCTTTAAAGCTACACATACTAATGTCAGCTGTTACTATAAAATCAAGTGATCTTTTGGGGTGAAGTTTGTAAAACTAAACACTCCTAATTCCATCAAATGATAAAAACAGAACAAACTTATAGGTTACCCATGTCTTGAATCATTTTAAATATTTTCCCTATTCAAAGTAGAGTTTTGAAACAAAGGCTACCCTTAACTCTATAGAGTTGATGACTGGAATCATGGAAAATTGTTCATGACCCTTACTGAATATTAGATAACTTCCTCTTGCAGTTATTTTGAAAAGCTACCATTTTAATTTGTTGTATTTTATTATATATTTGTGAAAGTATATCTCTTTTCAGTGCAACTTGATATATGAACAACTCTACAAATGTCAAAGTAGGTTAATTAATCCTAACTTTTCATCTAGAACATAATGAATCTGTTGGATTTCACTTTTGAGACCATCTGAGATGGAAAGGAAACAGATTTAAATAAAAATGGTGAAAATTATAATATTCATTGTCAAAAATTGGTGAAAATATCATGAAAATAAATTACAAACATACTACATGCTTCCAGTTCATTGAAATGACCAAAACCTTTGTAATATCATCAAAGAAAACTAATGATTCATGGGCCTTATGGACCTTTAAATCCAATGTCTTCATGCTTACAAAAGAGAAAATATTTGAAAAAGTATCCCAGGCAACAGATAAGATCTAAACTGGTGAGGACTATTTATCATGAAAACCTTATTTTCCTGAAACCCTCAGCTGACCGTTTTCAACAAAAGACATTTTTTTTTTTTGAATTGTGTGAATTTCTTACAAAGAAAATATTGTTTTGTCTGAAAGAATTATGATTCAGGCATAATTTAATTACTTTCCTCTTCATGAACTGGTCACCCACCTTCAGTTGCTGGGCAATGCTGGATATCCTGCTAGTATTTAATAAAAATGGTTTCTTAGCAAAAAATCAAACTTTTAGGAACCATTATACAGCCAATTATTTTTAACTGGTGAAATATCTATTAACATGACCCATGAATATTTCACTATGCATATAGCTTATCAAATGAAACTGGAAGAGATCATTATTTTCACTCTTTGCATGTGGTTTCAATTTGCTTATTCATTTAAATTGAGAAAAATGCTACAATCCTTAATTATTATGGTTTTACAAAATATAAAATTCTTTGCGAAAAAAATTCTTCCTTTTCTGCTTTGTTTTTCTTTATGTAGTTCTATTACCTTAATTTTTATATTTTGCAATGTTAATGTTGTCAAATGCAGTGACATAAAGTGACAGTGGTTAAATACTGGTTGTTGCAAGTATATTTAATGATTGTCATATGCATAGTAAAGAATAATCTGCTGTCAATAGAATTATAAATAATTTTCTGGATTTAATGGTAATATTTGCAATACAATTTGACTGATTCTACAGCTTATCAACCTTTTGCTGGTTGTTTAAATCCAGAAAATATTTTCAGATTGGAGGAATTTTTTTTTTAATAATGATTTAGTGATACAAGTGTTACTAATTAATCCATAGCTGGGAGAAGACATGGATTCATATTTTTCTCAAGCATAAGTAAATATAATGAACTTGACTGAAATTAGAACTCAGCTCTCTGATTAACAATTCTGAGTCATTATCCATTACACCATGCATTCATCCAAGTTTACAACACCTGGTATTCACAGTCTCCCATTTAGGTACCGACGAGACTCAACATTGCTTAACTTTGGTGATTATATGGGAACCAATGTTTCAACATGATATGGCCATAAGCCTACATTTGTAATAAAATCAAATCTTTGTGTAATGTTTGAATGCAACACAGTAGACATTCTTATTTACATTTAGCCCAATATCTTCATTGTTATTATCACAATGTCTTACCCATTGTGCACCCCCCAGTCTTCTTTTGGTGTCTATTGATCCAGATAAGGGAATTTCAAACTGAACACTTTATTTAATCTATAGAGGTAGATTGTTCTCATTCTACTCTACATGTTTATTGACATCCTCTTCTTATTTAATACAGCTTAGTTATTGCTCCACTGTTTCCAGGTTGATATTTCTTGGCCCAGGAATTAAATTCCTAATGAAATTGAATTAATAAAGCATTGGTTTGTAAATTTGGTAGCATAGTAATTTTGAATCCAATCCCTGGGCTGAGTCGTACAAACTTAGACTTAATGGAAACAGTGCAAGCAATGAGAAGTATTAAAACTATAAAAAACAAGACATCTCTAGATATGAACAGCAGAATAAAAACAGTCTACCATTGTAGCGTAAATAAAGGGTTCAGTTCAAAATTCCTTGAAAATTACCTGGCTAGACAGGCATCTGAAAAAGGTCAGAGGATACAATGGTGGAAATATTGTGATAATAACAATGATGAGGACAGTAGTCCAAATGTAATTTTTTTTTAATCAGATTTACTCCAAGAAAGACAGTAAAGCCAATAAGACACCAGGGGTTATTGGGTGTAAAAGAATTAGTAAGCAGAAACATTACTAAGAAGCAAGGTCAATGATATGCCATCATCTCGGACATTTAGACAGTACACATACTGGTAGCACATGAAGCAAATGTATTAATAACATATGGTTTAAAAAGCAAGAATTTTTATATTGATATCTGAAAAAAATGTTTCTAGTCCTGACATTGCCTAGATACAAACAAATATTTTATAACTTTAGTATGAAAAACAGAATCTTCATTATAGTACAGTGGTTAGCAATGTAATGTGTTTTCCTCCTTACTAAATGATCCATTATATAGCTTTATACTACCATTCCAATAAATATTTACTCTTCTCAGACACTTGGGTGATTGTGGTTGTTACCTGTTAGTTTTATTCTTTTGAATCTAATGTAACCGAACCTGACCTTAACTGACTCTAACATCATTAATCAGAGTTGATTCAGAAATTGGAGTGTCATTGCAAGTATGTCTTTTCATGCAAATGTTCCCACTTCTGTTTAGTTTAACCAATTCTTAGTAAAAATTCATCCTGATTGTGTAAAGATATTGATCATGTAATGACCAACAGTGCAACCTGAGCATATTACTTGTCCACTCAATCAAATCAACCTTCATAACCAATTTGTTTTTTTTTCTTTTTTATTGTTTTCTTATTCTTTGTATTCACCATATTCACCTTAGACATGTTTTTTAATGTCTACAGACTATCATATTATAGATTTCTTTTTATAGAATCTACACACTGGGGATTTTCCGTTTACCTCCAAAAGAAAACTGTTTTCATTTAATCACTATAGAGAACCTTTTCTGGTTGCCATCAGCATGACTGATGGTAACCTTCAGGAGATTAACTCTTGGCATTTATGGTTTTGTTGGTCAACTGAGGCACAAGTGTTCTGAAAGTGATTCACTTGGGCATCTATGGTAAAGAGAAATTCAGATTTTTTTTCAAATTATATCAGATGGTACCTAAGTTCATTTCATCGACCAAACATTAATTACTTTATTTTCCTCATCCCCGCTACACCAAAAAAAGCTAACAGCATTTACATATTATCCCTGAAATGTTTATTTATTTTTTAACTTTTTTAAATTTCATCCTTCTTTAGGATATAGGTGATCATTGGCTTGCCATAGAATACCTTTTCTTTATTTTTCTTTATTTGTGACTAGCCATGCATTCTTGAGTGTCTTTTATTGCCTTCTCTACAGTTTAAAATTCAGTTTTCCTTTTCTTGTTTTCTTGTTTCCACCCAAGGCTAGAGAGCTCGGTCTAAACTGCTGTTGAACTCATAGCTGAGATGTGGGAGAAGTGATGGATTCATGCCTTTCCTAAGAGCATTACCGGGAAAGTGAATGCAACAAAGTTGGGTTTTGAACTCTACCAATTCTACTTTTTACACTAATAACTGCACAACCACTGAAAGTTTTACAAATTTTGTTAATCTGCTTCGTTTATCTCATTCTGCTGGCTTCTAGGGCTAAATTAACAAAAGTTAGACATTTTTTTTTCTGGTTTAAATCTGGGTTTAAATTCCAATTTTATTCCAACCCTGAAAAAGTTAACTCTTTGCCTGGAACCTTTGACCTCCACTCTTTTCCTCTGCATGCAACATCCATGAAAATAGTCACATTGACTTTCTTACTTTTCAAAAATCTTTATACAAAAGTTATTTAAATCTTGAATCACCTTTAAAAAGAAGGGTCAAGACTATATGTTAGAATTTTTAAAATTTGGTCACCTGATGTCTGTCTCATAATTAGCTATGAAATTTGGCAATATAATCTCATCAGTATTATTATTACATTTCAGTGCTTTCATATCTTTTGAAATATTCTTAACTGCAGTATTAATATTTGCTCACCTTAGCATGAGAGGACATACTAACCTAGTTCTACAATTGACCAATAAACTTTTTGTTACTAACTAAACCAAATTGTTTTGTTTTGGCAACAGGAAGGAGTACCAAACTTTACTTAATCTGGCACAAGACTACAAGCATATGGCACCTAGTGATGACTGAAGTACATGTGAGACTAGTTTATCAGTAATTTAATTAGCTTTAATACATCACAAACTCACAAATATAAAGCATTCAGTAAAGATTTGGACACTCAACTGTAGTAATGGTTTGTGAAACAACATTGCTAAATATTCCTCCATTGACGAGGCACCTACAGCTTACATCCACATCATGTTGAAACACTGGTTCCCTTATAATCACTGAAGTTAAGCAACATTGAGCCTGGTCAGTACATAGATGGGTGGCTGATTCAGAATACCAAGTGCTGTAAGTTTGGATGTTTTTGTGCTTGGAATTTTTAATTGAAGAGCAGAGTTCCAATTCCACTTGGGTTCGTTATATTCACTTACATGCAAATACCCTTGAGAAAGGTATGAATCCACCTCTTCTCCCCCCAGCTATGGGTTAATTAGTAAGACTTGTGTCACTAAACCATTATTATTTCCAAAAATAAAATAAAATTGTGTAAAAAAATATTTACATTTTGGCATTAAATAACCTGAAAAGAGTTGATATGCTGCTAAACAAAAACAAACAAACAACCAATCAACCAATCACTTATAAAAATGGGGATATTTCTGTTTCCAGTTACTTAAAGAATTTAAGTAACCTTATCTAGTTAACTGCAATAGAGATAATTTAGTTATCGTGTCTATAATGCTTACCAAGAAATTGTGCATTTCTGTCTGAATTTCTGAGATGAGAAGTTATCATTATTTATTATTGGATTAGTGGATTAAAGTATTGGTTCATGAAATGGGTATGTGTTAATTTCATTTGCAATAAATAATAAGATAGTGGTATTTCTTAAAAAATATTTTTATTAACAAACAAAAGATAGCTATACTATTTTATTTAAAAAATTTGCAATAAGTTTACTTCAAGTCATGTAAATGTTGCTAAAATGTATCACAAATAAAAAATATGCAAAACATGCAGGCAAGACAAAGGGTAGCTCCATCTAAGGGGTGCCCTATAACTTCATTAGCTTAGGGATTCAAAAAGGTTATAATCTGACCCTGCGTAAAACTCAATACGTTTCTATTAGAAAATTGAATGTTTTGGGAACTATTCTTTTTGAACCCTGATTGAAAATAACTATTTTTACTAACAAATCTATTTGTTGTGTTTTCATAATAATATTTCTTTTTTTTATTTTTAGTTTTGGCATTTTGCTTACTTATAACTATGTTAAGTACTTGTTTTTTAATTCACGAGATGATATTTTTTCTATTAAGAGCAAAAGTTTTATTTATATTCGGACTACTGTTTTCATCTTTGTTATTGTTATCAAAATGTTTTGACAGGTGTATATTGATCTAGATAACATACATGAGATTCCAAACTGAACCCTTTACTTAATCTATGGGGTAGACTGTTCTTGTTCCACAGCCCATGTCTAGGGATATCTCATCTAGTTCTTATATTTAGTATAGTTCAAGTAAACTGCCTGGCCTCACAATTACTATGTCACCAAATTAACAAACCAATTCTTTAATCCACTAAGCTTCTGATGAAGGTGGGAGGACACAACCACCAAAAATTGTGCTAACAACAAAGATGAAGACAATAGTCTGAATGTAAATAGTGTAATGATAACTCCTCATCGCAGAAATTCAAACAGAAACTACTGATGTTGAATCACTTGACTCTGCTAATTGTGACCTTTTACTGACTACAGCTATACAGTTTGTTTGTCTCTTCAGGATGCAGGTAATCATGGCTCTCCACAGATTCCTTTTCTTTATTGAGAAATTACCATAGCTTTTTAGGATAAATAGTGAAGTGGTTTTCCAGCATTTTCTCTTTGAACTCTCCTGGACTGGCTGCCATTCAAGACTAAAATGTTCACTCTACTCAGCTACTATGAAGGAGGAGAGATAGATTCATGTCTTTCTCAAAGGCATTAGTTTGAAAGTGAATGCAACATTCTAGGTCAGAAGTTAAATAAGTCTCACCAATTCCACTTTCTATGTTGATAACCGTAATGCTAGCTATACATCCTCACCTTACTGTTTAGTATTTTATTCTTATGTTTTTTTTCTCTTTACACCCTTTGTTGTTGTAAAAATAGAATTCTTACTTTCATTTGATTCCTTCAATTATATAATCAGAAAAAGCAAAAACAGGTCAGATTTATCAGCTCTTGCTTATCCTGAACAATCTACAGACTGCCAGAGACAGTGTTTCCCCAAAGTGAGACCCTTTCTTAGCACCTATTAGCCTTTATGTGTTACATTTCTAATTACGTATGAGTTTGCCTTTTACTTTCAATGCATTATTTCTTCTCTTCTGACTTCAGTGCCAAATTCTTTTGTGCATTTGCTTATAGAGTCTGTGTACTTCTTGGTGGAGCTAATAACAAGCTTTGAATTACACAATATTAATGTCACATCTTTTATCACTCACAAGAGGTGACAAGAGAACAATTAACTACCCAAGGGAATTTTGTCTTTGTATTCTACTCTTGGCCAGCTTTAAGCCAGATGGATGCATATAAGAGAGATAGCTATTGTCAATTTCTTGTATAGACCACCAAATTAAGGTAATTCAAAGTCATTGATATTAAGAAAATCTGTTGTGCTTATAAATTCTTATTTATAATAACATCTTTTCCTACTAGACCATCCATTAGGCTTATATATTTATTCTTTTAACTGTTTACTCCTAATACTGTAGTCAAATAATCATTATGTTTGCATGACCCTTGTAGATGGTAGCCAGCTATAACATTTTATTTTACAGATGAACAAACCACAAGATATATTTTCTATTTTTGTTTGTGTCTGCAACTCAAAATGTTTGTCAGATTTTAAAAGAACTTGATGTATAGAATTTGAATATCTATTTTGATACGTGTCTGTAACTTACTTTTTGAAGTTATAGGGTTCTGCGTTTTTTTATTGAGTGAACCTAAGAATGTAAATATTAAATGAAAGAGAGCAACATTAGAAGCATTCTTCAGGTGTCTACAGTTTTTTTTTAGCTCCACCTGCATGACCCATATAGATGTAAGTAAGCTACTTTACAGAAACTGTTATTCTTTTGCTTGTTATTGCCTAAAATCTTTGTTCAGTAATGATCCTTATCAATTTTTCAAATGTTACTGGGATGTCAGAATCGGAACAAAATGTAATTTTATATCACTGTATGTTTTTTTTTGTTTGTTTTTTTTATAATAAAAAATAATTGGTGCTATATGACCTATGAAGATGTTTGTATGCCAGAAATATTTCTGTTTCTGCTAAACTTCCTAATTTAAAACATCTGAAAAAGACTCCTTCCTTCCCCCCTTGTGTAATTTATATTTCTCTTTTTGTCTTCTCTTTGGAACCAGGAGAGACATCTGACCTTTGACACACAGTTGATGAAGTGTCAGAGATTATGCATTAATATCCTGTTGAAGCAGAGTAGAGGCAAAACCTGCAAGAATTTTGGTAATCTTATAAGGCACCAAAAGTATTGATATCCTGAAAAGTCTTTTAATGCTATCCCAAATCCCCATTTCTGTCACACACTCTCTACCACTTCTTCAATTACAGTATGAATTTTATAGCATTTTGAAGAAGGAATGAAAAACAAGAGTCACACATGTGGGCGTATGTGCCACACCCATGTCTCAGAGGTTGAGAGATCATAAGTATTTGGTGGCAGGGACATACAACACCCTTTACTGATCCTTTTTCCCCCCACAGTTGAAGGGAGTGTGGGGATGCATCTGTTTCTCTTCCCAAATTTTAGGGGACACCCAATCTCCTCTACTTAGTGTCAAGTTCTGATAATGTTTCCACTTTTCCTTTCCTCCTCCCCCTTTTCCTTCCTATGACTTGACCATCATAACTATTACTGCTGCCATCACTCCTTCCACCTCTTATCTTGAAGCTCTGACTAATACTCTTCTTTCTTCCCTTTTTAAAGCAATTTTCTTTTCAACATTCAACCTAATATTTTCTACACTAAATTCCTATTTCTGAAAATTAAATTTAAACCACTTTTCTTACCAAGTCATCATCTTTACTTATGATTTCTCCATATCCTGTCTTTCTGTTTCCCACCTTGTACTAACACAACAAAGAATTGAACTCGCCACCTCATAAATTGAAATTAAGTAAATGCTCTCTATTAGGGCACAGAACTGCAGTTATCCAAACATATTCTAGGATAAAAGTGATTTTCAAGATGTTTATTCCGATCTTGAGGCAATAAATTCTTCTTCAGATAGACAATAATCTTTTTGTATTCTTCTATATAACCTCTGAAGGGTGTAGATGATTTGACAATTCTCAGTTTTTCAGTATGTTTTTCTGTCATCATCAGGATAAAGGATAAGACTGCATGTAAATTCCTGGATGTGGTTAAATTCAAATTACATAATTATATAACTAAACAAGTTGTATGACAGCATTATACAATACTATCTTATAGTTACCCTCCCTCCCTCTCTCTTTCCTTCTCTCCTCCTTTCACACACACATACATAAGTGTATCACTAAATCTGCAGCCTATGTAGTTAATACATGAATTTTTATGACATTCTATAATATTTAATTTTGTGATTAATATTCACTACTGAATTAAGTGCATTGACAAGGAACATTTAGGATGGGATTAGGATTAGTTTGTTACATATTCACTAATATCTCTTAGAATTTCCACAGTAGATACAGTAGAAAGTCTTGAAATTGGGAGGGAGCTCTGGTTGTATGGCATTTCTCTTTTTTCTTCTGCTCTAGTTCTACAGCTTGCTTCAGATGGAATCGGTACCTGTCTCTCTATTAACAACCTCTGTTGGCATTAGTCAATTCCATAATTAGATAAAAAAAAAATATTTTCTGACACTAAGTGAGCAACTCAAGACATGTCATGTGCATGCTGGAGCTCTCTGAAAACTGTACTATATCTTCAGTGTGAGCTTTGAGTGATTTCACATTGAATATGTTTTATACCATACACATCCATACTTTCTTTCTTTCTCATATATATAAGTGTGTGTGTGTGTGTGTGTGTGAGTTATATACATCCTATGTGTGGATAGCATGGCAGCGACATGGAAAGTGGACTGTCACTGGGTTCAAATTCTGACCAGCTCTGTTACATTGACTTTTGGGTTAATGTCCTTGGGGTAAAACATAAATCTTTCCCCAAGCTATGAATACACTAGCAAAGAAGACTGTGTTCTCTAGCCTTGAGTGGCATTCAGTCTAGGAAAAGGAAAACTGAAGTACAAGAAGAGCATTTCTAGTATTGAAGCATGGTCTGGAAATTCACTGC